CACTTATTTATAAATGTAAAATTTTAAATTAACTAAATATATTTAGTTTTATTAAAAAAATTAGATATATTTAACTATTTTTGAATGATATATGCTTTAAAATTTTTAAATAAATCGTATAAAAAAATAGTTTATTTTTTAAATAGTTATTTATATCAAAACAACTTTAAATTTGAAATATATGATTTATAGGAATGGAATAAATTCAACCACTACTTTCATAGTATATTGTACAAAAAAAATTATATATAATTCATGTAAAAATTTATATAAATTATATCAATGTAATTAATTAGATCATGATTATTTTTAATATTTTTTCTTACCTAAACCAAATTATCATATCTTAAAAATTAATCGCAAAAAGACAAAAATAATTTTTTTACCTAAATCCTAAATTTTTTTTATATTTGAAATGGTTCCAATAATTCAAAACCTTAAAAAATCAAAATTTTGTAAAAAAAAATAAAAACTAATATACCATATTTAAAATTTTTCAAAAGCTTAGGGGAGCAGCCGCCCCCTTGTCCTACTGACTACTGAGCCCAACATAAAAAATAATAATAAAGATAATAACAAAGCTTCAGATTAAGAAATGAGCACCACTAAAATTTCTACTTTTAGCAACCCCTTATAAGCAACATATGTGTTTTTGTCGATAATATAGATTTTTATTAACAATGATTATGTTACTGAAAGTTATACAATACATATTTTCACTTAAAGTGAGCTCTACTTTCAATAACATACCTCTTATTGCTATAATTTTTCGATCACCATATGGTGCATATTCCCACCTAAAACTGAGTTCTACTTTCTGCAACATAATTTTCAACAACAAAGTCTGTTATTGAAAGTGAATTTCAATAACAATGAACATATTGCTTAAACTGAATTTCAGCAATCTCATTGGGAAAACCAAATCTAGGTTCTCCTTGAACCCAAGTTGGGTATTGGTGAGAACCCAAGCTATAGGTTCTTAATGGGAGAACCTTGGGTTATTTTGTTTTTTGTTTATTTTATTCTTAAATTCTTCTAGCCAAACTCATGTTTATTTTAAATTGGAAAGCAAACCTATAAACCCATATTTTTGCAGCTTCATTTGATCTGGGTTCTTATGAAGTCTTTTGGGTTGTTTTGTTTTCATACAAATTGATTGGGTTCTTTCTATCTTCTTTTTTTTTTTGGCCATCCTAATTTCGTTTGTTTGTTTCTTTTTCAATCTTTTCTTCTTTTTATTTTAATTTTTTTTATTTCATACAAATTGATTTCATTTCTTTTCATACAAACTTATTCCTTTGTTTGTTTCTTTGTTCAATCTTCTTTTTCTTTTTTCTTTTTTTGTGTGGTTTATTTAACTTAGTTTATGATTAATTCATTTCATTATATGAATTGTTCTAAAATTAATGAAATAATCTTAAGGATTTTGCACATAAATGGAATTGGTAGTGGAAGGCCAAAGCTGGAGAAGATGAACAGTGGCATTGGAGGAGGAAAAGCAGTTTCCAATTTAATTGCCTTTAATTAATACTCAATTAAAACCTTTAATTACAAGTTACAAATTTTAATTATTTAAATTTATTAATACTTTCTCTCTTAAGAGGAAAGATAAAGTAATTCTCACATAAGAATAATAAAATTATAAATATTGATGTAAGGCCCATCATATGAAAAAGGATAATATATAGGAGAGGATGAAAATATGACTTATTAGAGTAAAAAATGACAACTCATCAAAATTTGATGTATTTTTATGTGAAAAATGACTCTTAATGAAAAAGAGTTGACTCTTAATGAAAAAAAGTTGACTTTTAATTTAAAAAATTGACTATTGGTAAAAAAAAAATTGATATAATTTTATGTAAAATGTCTACATAGCCTTATATATATACCCATATATTTTTTTAGACAAAATAAAGTTTTAAATTATTTAAATATATTAATAAATAATGTAATTATATTAATTAATGTATCATGTGTTAAATTTAATTTAATAGATTAAACAAAATCAACTAATACTGGAAGGATTCATGGAGTAATACTGGAGTACTTGCTAATGTTTTTCCGAGATTATATATGCTTTCCACAGGGAAAGACAACACAATTGATGAGATGGGTAGATGGGAAGACAACAAATGGGTTTGGAACCTTCCTTGGAGATGCACCCCACACTCTTGGGAGCAAGATTCCATGCAAGATTTCAACAAGCTTCTCAAGGAGACCAACTTGACCATAGGGAAGGAAGACACTTGGACCTGGGAACGAGATAAGTTGGGTGATTACTCTACAAGCTCAGGATACACTGCTTTGGTCCAACATCAACCCTCACCATACCGACAAGTTTTTGAGAAGATTTGGAACGCCCCTTATTCCTCACAAAGTCTGTGGATTCACTTGGTTACTACTACTTGACAGGATTCCCTCAAAATTCAACTTGTTGAAAAGGGGATTAATTAAGGAGATGGAGGCTGTTAAGTGTAGCCTTTGTGGACAGAATGTGGAAGACAGCAACCATCTTTTTCTCCACTGCTCAGTTACTGTAAAAATCTGGTTAATGTGCTTCGAATGGTGGGGCTTCTCCACTGCCATTGCTGGTTCATGTTGGGATTCTTTCATCCAACATGAATCCTTAGCTACTAAAAGTAGTGAACGACTGGGTTGGATTATAGTGTGGTTTTCTCTTGTTTGGACCATCTGGACTATCAGGAATGAGGTAATCTTTAGAGGTAAATCGATGGATTTAACAAAGACTTTCGATCAAGTTCAAGCTCAAGCCTTCCTCTGGGTCAAGAGCAAAGGAAAGAAATGTAAGGAAGTACATTTCTGCTTCTCTGACTAGATCTTAAACCCCAAGTGCTGCAAGTTTTTGTAAATGGGTCTCCCAACGCTATACTGTTTTTTGGTTCTTCATTCTATTCCGAATTGACTAATGTATATGAATTTGGGTACCCCTTGTACTCATTCAATTAAATCTTTTGTCTTTCGAAAAAAAAAAAATCAACTAATAAATTAAATTTTAAATATAAAAATAAATTTTTTTAAGATTAAAAATTAATTAAACTATAATAATTTTAACTATTTAGTAGTGTAGGCAAGAGAATTGGTGATTTTAAATTTTAATATCACGATACACGTCGGATTCTACCAACATAAGTAATTACGGTGAACAAGAAAAAAGAAAAAGAAAAAAAGAGAGAAGGAAAGAAAAGTTAGAATGGTATAACCGTAATTTAACCCAAAACTAGGGTTTAAATCTCTCTGCTTCTCCGTCTCCTACGTAACAGCGTTCTCTCCGAAAAAGGAGCAAGTCTTAACTGTCCTAGTCATTATATTCCTACATATCATCGGCGTCGGCATTCTGGTGCTGGTGAATTTAAACCAGGTGTACAATGACCATTGATTTGGCTAATCGGAAGGAGTTCGTTATAAGGATTGACGGTGGAAGTAGTCAGAGCAACGCTTTTGGTGGTGGGAACAAGATTTGGGGAGACTCAGACTATGATTTTTTGGGGGATTCTTATAAATTGATGAAGAAAGGGAAAAAAGAGAATGTGGATGTGACTGGGAGTAGTAGTGGTGGAAATTACAGTGGTGAGGATTTTGATTTTATTCCAGGTAAGCAAGTGATGGTTGAGCTGCCGTCGAAGCTGATCAGGCAGTTCTTACACAGGCAGAAAGCGTGCGGGGAGATTTCGCTATATATGGATTTGGAGATGGCCGAGCTTTAGCTAAGAAATCAGGTCTTGTATTTTGTTTATGGGTTGAAGAAGTCAGTTCAAAATTGTTTATGGTTAGGCTTGGTGTCGATAGCTTGGTATTATTTGTTTGATGAAAGGATTGAAAAGGAAACCAACATTAAGGCTCTTAGAATTTTCACAAAGATTTTGGTTTGTCTTGTGATGGGTGTGATGTTGTGGCTTGTGAAGACTCCTTTGGTAGAATCCAGGAATCAGTGTTCAATCAGCATATCATAAAGGCACTTTCAGGCACACCACTGACCAAAATTCAAAAAATAGAAGAGGAAGAAGAAAGAATTGCAAACGAAGTTAGGAATCTACAGAATGCTGGTGCAACTATCCCTCCAGGCGTTAAGGCGTCTCCCTATTTGTCATCCAAAAATAGGAGAGTAATAGGGAGAAGTCCATGAAATAAAACTCCTAAACTTACTTCCCCGCTTGGGTTCTAAGAAGGGGGATAAAGAAGATCAGGGGATAAGTATAGATCAACTTCACAATTTGAACCCTAAGAATGTTTCAGCTTGGAATATGAAGGGGCTGATGAATCTCATTCGGCAAGGTGCTCTTTCTACATTGGATCAGTGGATACAAGATAGTGCTTATGGGGATGAGTCAACTGAAATTAGAAGTGAATTAATGTGAGGCAAAGATCGCAGCAAGAAAAATATTTCAGAATGTTGCTAAGCCAGGTTGCAAGTATATGTCCTTGATCTGTTGCATTTTGTTTTCAAATGTTTTGTGTACCTTGAATTAATTTAGCTCAATTCTAGACTTTCTATTGAGGCTATTGGCATCAAATTTTGCTTTAGTGCTTGGACAATTATATGAGGTAACTATTACACTTAGGAATACTTGCTCTTTGTCTACGCAGTATATTAATGTATAGGAACGATAAAATTGCATAATTGTTGTTTTTTTTTCCCAGTCAGCAAGTGGATGTTTTTTTGTTACATAATATTTTGATGGAAAATAATGTGTGCACACCCGGATGTGCACCCCTCCACATAAAAAAAAAAATAGACTGGGTGTTCTCATTTTATTTTTTTCTTTTTTTGTGGAGAGGTGTACACCAAAGTGTTGGATCCGGGTGTGCATCAATCATGATCCTACTTTGATAAAAGAGCATGACGTGACCTAAGTGCAAAGTGAGGGCAAGTGGACAGGAAACAGCCCAGAAAATTTATCGATAACATGTAACTTGTATATCTTGTGCACATGGTTTGATAGGTCAATTGATAGGTAATCTCATTCTCAACACTTTGGCATTGCCCAAGTTTAAGCCATTAAGCCATTGTGCGAACCTGACTAGGTGGGTGAAAACAGTAATACTTGTCATTCACTTGGTCAAAATTTGAAGATTTTTTATTTCATTTTGTAATTATTTAGAAAATAAAAAGTTTAAGCCATTGCGTTGTCATGTTAAAATACCTATTTTTCTATCTTAAATTTTAGATGTTTAAAAGAATAAATGAGAAAACTTTTATGGTTAGAAAAAAAAAATCAAGATGTTTATTTAAAAATGCATGTTAGAATATTTAATAATAAGTTAAGAAAAATAAAGGGGAGAAAAGAGGTGATTAATGAAAAAAATCTTTTTCTCACCTCAATATTCTTCAAACCAAATACACTATCAATGATTAAAGGTTTTAACTTTTTTTAAAAGTCATAATGTCTTGATTTTCCATTTTCCTTAGGAAAAAAAAAAGATAGAGATAGTTTTAGAGATGAAAAAAGAAGATAATTTTAATAATAAAAAGTAGGCAAAACCCAATAATAAATACGTAATTTTTACCAAATTTGAAATTGAGAATATGAATTGTTTTGATAATGATGCAATTTTTTGTGTTATTTAGAAATATTTAGGAATATTGATTATTAGAATGAAAAACTAACACACAATCACCTACAATAAAATCTTATTAGATGTCACACATTGTTGTCGTTAGGAGCATCTACATTGAGGATATAATAATAATAAATAGATGAAAATTTAAGATTAAAATTTAGAATTAATAATATGATATAAATTATGTTATTTAAAATATTTAAAAATAGATATTATATTATTTAATAATTAAATTTTAATATTTTTAGACTTGTAATATGTATATATCAATTAATTTAATAACATAATATAAATCATATAATTGATCATAAATTTTTGTCACAATTTTTTATTCTCTTTGTCATTACTCTTGAGAATCATAAAAAATTTTATTTTAGTGTCATATTATTATAATTAATATTATTTTATATAAATTTATATTTTTATATATTTAAAAATAAAATAAAATATTCAATAAAACACATATTTTCAAATACATACACTCGAATAAAACTTTTTAAAAAATTACATCAACATTTTTTAAAAACAATAATAAAATGGTACGGAACCATATGGTGAGCATCGATATTATTTAATTTAAAATAAAATAATTGAATTAAAAAAATTTTAAAAATAAAAATATCACCCAACGACGGAGGTAGGCTACGTCAGCGCATGTCGCGTAATTTTTTTTTTTTAATACTTTTAGGGAAAATCAACTCAGAAGGGTTTTTATTAAATATTAGTGTTATAAAAATAATTTTTTTATATAATTTTTATATATTATTAAATAAATTAATATATTTAATATTATAAATTTTATATAAAATAAAAAAATTATTATTTTAATAATATATTAACTTATTTAAAAAATAAAATAAAATAAAAATATAAAAATCATTTTCCTCTTACAAAATTGTTCCAATAGGGAAACAATAACTGTTTTTTTTTAATAAAACAAAAAATAGAGCACGCGTTTATGCATCCTCTAAACAAATAATTTGATTGAAAAAAGACAATTTTTATGATATGACATCCTAATAAAAAGATTATGAACATAGTTTAATAATTTTATTAATTTATAATTTTTTTAACAGCAATTTAAGGGGTTTGAAAAAAATATTTTTAAAGAATAATTTCACACTCGCGGTAACCTGCATAAACAGAGAAACAGAGTAAATGGGCAATCGAAAGGGCCGACCGTCACCGTCTTTGGATTTTTGACCAGCGTTTAACCTGCTGATGGTGAGAGTGGCGAGAGAAGGATCATGCCTATACACTTAAAAGGAAAGTTCAAGAATTTGAGTTAGATTCAACGGGATTCAATAAATTTCGATTATTGGAACAGAGCCATTAACATTTCGAGAAATTACTGTCAGCATCGGGTTCGTCGGAGTTGTTTTCTTCATCGGAGTCTTTTTCTATATATAGGGTTGATTGATATGGATAAGGAACACCGGCGAGGATACGCAGTCCAACAATGACGTAACCTCGGGCTAGCGGAAGCAATGACGTAACCTCCGGCTAGGATACGCCGCCTAGCAATGACGTCACCTCCAGCTAGGATACGCAGTAGTCCGGCAATGATGGCTATGGGAATGGGGTTTCCGATGAAACCTCAACCTTTAGATTAGTGGCAAATTTTAAGTTCAACATGTTAAAATTTAAAAATGGAACATGATAAAAAATTTAAATACTAATATATAACAAATTAAATAAATTACTATTTTACACATGATTCTTCGGGTCAATTGGTACCTTATCAACTTGAAGTGCATTTATTTTCTTTCATGAGCGGGTTTTGAATCCACTCCTTGACAACTTGTTCAAAAATAATAAAAAAAATTACTATTTTAATTTTTATCATGTCACTAAGGATTAACGAAGAATATTATAA